CCCCCCCCCCCCCCCCCCCGCCTCGTACGGTTCTCGCAGCGCTCAGGAGCGGCAGGTGTCTCGGAGGGCATATGCATCATACCGAAAAACTATCCCCCGGCGTTCATGTTATGTAGGCGATCGCGCATTGTCGGAGAAAGACGCTCTCGCGCTTAAATAATAGCGGTCCAATCCCAAGCCAAATCAGCGCGAGTTCCCCCACGAGGGAGACGTTGGAAATGCTCCCAGATCGCAACCACACAGCAGTGCCTTATCTGAGTGTCGGTACCACATCTTTTGAGCTTTGTCTTTGCTTTTTTTGCATGTCGCGACGCCACGCGGCGTGCTCCTCCCGTTGTTGTTTTTGGTCCTGCTGCTGTTGCTCTTTCCCGCACGGTGTCCACGAAAAAACTCAAAAGCGTGCGGAGGCGAAGTTTTTACGCAAGATCCTGCCCAAGTACTACGCGCACCACCTCGCCCACCCCGGGTCGTTCCTCATCCGCTTCTGCGGGATGTATCTGGTCAAGAATGGCCACAAGAAAATTCCGTTCATCGTCATGAAGTGGTGAGACGCGGTGTCCGCGGGGGGTATACAATCGTGTGGGTGGGGTGTACACAGTCGGGTTGGTCTGTCCGTCTCTCTTTTCGATTGTGTTGGTTTTGGATGCTCCTGTGAGGTTCGTAGGAGGTCCCGCCACTCCCTTATTTTTATGTAGACGAGAAGAAAAACATCAATCGGCTAGCTGTCTGTCTGTCTGTCTGTCTGTCTGTCTGTCTGTCTGCTGTGTGTGTGGAGGTCCGCACAAGGTTTGTTCTGCCCTCGCCCTAGGCTTTGCCGTTGTTGTGAAGGAAGCACCTTGTCGCACGGTGGTTTTGCGCCACGGCACATATCCCGCGCAAAGGTCATTATCTCTCTCGCCGCATCCGCTCAATACACGTGACGTGAGCAGCGTGGAGGGGGACACGAACAAGACGATCCATTCCAAGTACGACCTCAAGGGGAGCAGCTTGGGCCGTTCGGCAAAGGAGGGGGAGAAGGTCCTCAAGGATAACGACCTCGACGTCAAGTACGGGAAGATACACCTCGGCTCCCAGAAGGCCGCGTTTGTCGAGGTCAGTACCCCCCTACCCCGGTTCATGCATTATTTGCGAGCAAAGGGGACGCCCCCCCCCCCCAACCCATCCCCCTTTCCGATTCCTGTTTGTTACTTAGACGTTCATGGCTGGGTTAGAAGCTGTGCTGCTGCTACTGCTGCTGCTGCTGCTGGGGGATGAGCTCTCGCGAGCATGAGGTGTTGCATGGTTTTTGTTTGTCCGGTGTATGATATGTTATTTAATCTCGGGTTGGTTGTTCGATAGGTGGATAAACTCGGTTGGATCTCACTGCTTAGTCGCCTTGCTCTGCACGCACGCACGTTAAAAAGGCGCCTGGTTATTCCGCTGAGCGTTGCTCACTCGCCGTTCGTTTGTGGCGCACCGCGCTGGAGAATCAAGTGGGTTGCGCGTTACGAACGATCGGCGAATGAGAAACGCTCAGAGGATCGATCATCAGGCGCCTTTCGGTGGTCGTGCGTATGCACAGGGCAAAGCGACTCTTGTGACCCAACCGGGTCTATCGTACAGTTTTTTTTTTTTTTTACACCCGAGCCCAACGTGTTTGTTGTGTCCTGGCACCTGACTACCCGTTCGATTCAATGCTCCAACCTCATGCGGCACCTACCTTGCTGTTGTCGTTATCATTGGTTTGTTTTTTTGAAGAGGTTGGTCTCACGAAACCTTATGTAGTAACTATTGCATTTTTTTTTTGTCGGCACACCTTGGGGTCCATTCCATGTTCAATTTTTTTTGTTTCGAACCACACTATAATGATCGCACAACCTTCTAGTTGAACCTGGTACACATAGGCGACACATTTGCGAGAGAGGCATGATTTAACAGACGCCCTCGACAGCATTTTTTGTTCACGCCCTGCAATTTGCTCTCTTCGCAGGATGGTGCACACACTACAGCATACATACCACATGAAAACAGCACATGGTTTCATGTTTGTTTTGTACAAAAAAAAATGCTTCTTTTTTCCCAGGCCGCGAAAGCTGACGCGGAGTTCCTGTGCAGCGTGAACGTGATGGACTATTCGATGCTGACGTGCATACACGACTCGTCAAGACCGCCGGACGAGGAGGCCGTTCGACGCGATTCCACCGAGCCCCGTTACTCTACTTTGTGAGTTTGTTGCTGCTGTTGCTGCTGCTGCTGTTGCTGCTGTTGAAGCTGAATGGTGTTGTTGGTGTTATTGTTGGTGCTGTTTTGATAAAGAACGAATGAGCGTGCGGGCAGACAGAGCGACGCGAGTCCATGTTCCCCTTCCTCCTCCCCGCTACCGTTTTGATTCGCTGCATCCTTCCGTCTTTTGCACCATCACCACTTGTCGCGTGCGTTGTACAATGTGGAACTATATACAGATATATTTTTTTGACAGGAAACTTCTTTGGTTTCCATGGGCTGTAAGAAGACGTTGCACTGACTGTCGTGCCAGCTGTCGGGCCATTCGTAGCCTGTCGTGTCGAACAGCCCGGCAGAAGACGTCAGCTTCAACAAAATACGTACGCGGCTGCTCGGCAACTGTTCTGCTGTGGAACCCAAAGTACCAGCGCATGCCAACAGCTCAGCGTTGGCGCGACTGCTGTCAGAACGGCTGGGGAGTGAGCGTATTCGTGCGGTGGGTGGCGCACAGAAGAAGCGTTTCCAGCGTACATACAGCAAGGCGGCGACCGAAGCATCATGCGTGATGTTGTGGTGTTGACGTGTCCCAAATGATAAGATGAAGTTTTGGCAGTACGCGAGAGACAGAGAGCGGTTTGAACAGCTACGTCACTACAACTAACTACTGCTGCTTGTTGTGATTGATTGATGAATTGCCATGTAAAAACGCCAGAAAAGAGATTGAGATCAGGTCACACACAACACGGACGATTTGCCTTCAGGACAGAAACTACGGTCGGAAGAAGGCCCCCGACCGGATGCAATTTCAAGTTTCACGTCATTTTTCCGGCCAGGAATCTGACTGTCTGCGTGAAAGTCGTTTCTTCTTTATTTTTTTTCTGTTGAGTTCTGTCATACGCGCAGAGACGTTGCGGACTGCTGTCTTCGGCTTGGCTGAACGCCCAAATGCCCCAGAACGACTCGAGCCAAGTCGTGCGGGTGTCGGCAGAGCGACTGCTGATGAATGAACAACATTCAGCAGCCCAATGTATGAAGTTTTCAGCAGCAGTCGAGCAATGTGTGTCGTGATCGGGAGGTTGGTATGCACATATCTTCACATCGATCCGCGCGGCTGCGGGCTTTCCAACCAAAAACATCCAGAAAACCGTTGAAAAAAAATAGCTCGCGCCGACCTGCCGCGAATCCTTTGATCGAAGGTATCTATGCGCAACTGCTTATTGCTGCTGTTTTCTCTGTTACGTAGCTTTTTTGCATGTTCTTGCATCACCCCTTGCCGCGGTGCTCTCTTTACCCCACTCCGGAGGGACGCCATCTAAGTGTACAACGGTGCTGTTTTCGTAGAATAGCGGTTCGAATCTCCCTATGTCGTTTCTCCTTCTTCTCCTTCATCTTGTTCATCTTGGACAAGGCGGCTTTGGCAGCCTAATGCGAAGCCTTTCCTGTCCTTGCGCTTGTACATGTTCCACTCTCACACTCTCACTCTTGGCTCGCGAGACAAGACGCCCCATGGACGTACGCTCACCCCCCCCTCCCCCTTCCCCTGCCCGCTTACGCCCCCGCCGCCACCGAGAATCGAACCCTGGCGGGGGACGAGTCAAGACGGATACCGATGATGGTATGCGTAGCCTCGTGTCCGTTGAGCAACGAATCAGGGGCGCACACAAGCTCCGGCGGCCCATTCCATTTCCGTGACCCTTCCTGGTCGAGAGATTTGTTCACGCCCGACAGCAGCAGCAGCAGCAGCAGCAGCGTTTCTCCTCTTACCTACACTCCCAACTCGTCCAAACGTTCTCTCCACTTTGTTTTTCTTCAAGTTGTGCCCGTTTTAGGTTGCCCACCCGCACCACTCAGAAATTCGAAGTTCCTAAAAAAAAAAAATGTTTTGAAGAAATGGCTCTTGCGTACCTACAGACGGTGAGCGCCGCAAAATATACCACTTTACAACGGGAAGCATGCACACGTATATGGACCACGGCCGTATCCTAGAGATCGAGCGAGGGAGCCCGGCATTATCTGTTTCCCACTCCCCCCCCCCTCTAATATTGTGATGTTTGGGTCTTCAGTTACACCTTTGCCGACGAGGCTAAGGACCGGACGACGCCCGAGTTCGAGAGGATTCCGAGTTCGGGGGATGCTTCGGCTCCCGCTGGGACCGCTGCTTCGAGAGGGGCGCAGGAGGGGAGGGGGGATGCGGGGGCGGCGACGGCCGCTGGAAGGGACGATACGTTGTGAGTGTGGTGGCGGCGGTGCTGCGGTTGGTGGTGCTGTTGATGATGATGACGTTGTTTCTCCTGGCATGTTGATACGATTCCAGGCAGATGATGGTAGTGGATGGGATATTTGGTAACCGCGATGGCCATGGGGGCGAGTGTGTGAAACATTGTCTCTCCCAAATGCTGTAACTATTCAAGACAAATTAGTCCGGGCGCTTCAGTCCGTTCGATATCAGTAAGTAGCTGCAGGATTTCCAAGCCTATCTCATGCACTCTGGTAAGTCATGTTGGCTGGCAAGCACGCTCCACTCGACCCAAGCAGTATTTTGTTTATGGCCACTCATCTCACTTACTTTGCTAGCATACATTTAACAGTTTTTTTAACTTCGGGTTGTCGAGATAGTCAAAGAGGCAAAGTGTTTTGATTAAATGCCTCGTGCTAGACGTTATCGGTCCCTGGTTGGCGGCTTGCTCTACACCAAGGCTTTACAGGCGCACCTCCTGCGATGGTAGGCCTACCTTAGACATCCACAAGTTACACCTACGATGCCCCCCCTCGCCTCCTTAACCCGGGAAAAGCGCACCTCCAGGAGTGGTAAAGCCTACCTTAAGACATCTACTAGTTAAACCTGCGGTGCCCCTCCCCCCCATTTCTTCATGTATTCCGTGTTTCGTTTCTCTGACCCACCCCGAAAGGAGACAAAACGGGGCAGCGCAAAATGAGGACGAACCCCCCCCGGTGGGGCCCGGGGGAGAGTCGGTCGTCCGGTACCGAGCAGACGGAGGCGTCAAGTCCGAGGTTGACGGGGGGGCGCCTGGAAAGGACATCTACTATCTGGGCATCATCGACATCTTGCAGGTATAAAACGCAAACAATAACAATGATACTCCACAGAACAGCGGCAGTGGCTTATGACGCGCTTCAGCAAACGTGTTGTTTGTAGAATGCCCCGGCACAGATTGAATGGTCTCTGCTCGGCCGGTGTGTGGTAGAAGTAGGAGTTCAGAGCAGGATCAGAGGCGTGCTTACGGTAGGGCAATGCCCCCCACGTGCTTGTCTCCATCGTCGTCGTCGTTCTGTGGCTGCGAGAAGTCTCGATGTTTCATATTGATGAGCCAAAAAAAGAAAATGAAGAAAAAACTCACTCTGTCTGGACTCGAACCCATGACCTGGCCCTTAGCAGGCTGCGACGCTACCCACTAGTCCACCGGGGAGACCGTGAACATGCGCGATACCTTGCGGTAGCACGGCTAGTATGTTCGCGATTTGCTTGAGTGGTCGCGCTGTGGCTGCTTCTGCTGCTGCTGCTGCTGCTGCTTATTTTGTCGTTGGTCGTGTCGGTCGGGAGTCCCCCCCCCCCCCCCCCCCCCCCCCC